GAGCCCGAGGAGTTCGATGCTCCATCGACAAAAAATTGCTAAGTGTCCAAATTGGTACTCATGCTCGAGCTGTCACTGGCCTCGGAGGCCTAGGGGTTAGTTCTGCAATGAAGTCGGCTAGTGCTTGGGCTTTGATAGATGGGCGTGGTTTGAATTTGATGTCAAATTCTCCAAGCTCGATCGCCCATTTCATCAGTCTTCCCGATACGTCCGGCTTCTGAAGTATATGCCTAAGTGGTTGATTAGTGAGCACCACAATAGGGTGAGACTGAAAATACTGCCGGAGTTTCCGTGCTGCTATTACGAAGGCAAGGGCAAGTTGTTCAGCCAAAGTATACCTTGTTTTCGCGTCTAGTAGGACCTTGCTTACATAGTAGATAGGTTGTTGGACTTTGTTAACCTTTTTCACCAAGACCCTACTGACCGCATTTTGAGATACAGCCAGATACAAAAATAAGTTGTCACCAGGATCAGGCCTAGTGAGAATAGGAGGAGATGCCAATGTTTGCTTGAGCTCCTGAAAAGCTTTCTCACAGTCTTCACTCCAATCAAAGCCTTGGTTTTCTCTGAGGACTTTGAAGAAGGGATAGCACCTGTCTGATGCTCAGGACATGAACCTGTTCAAGGCTGCTATCCTACCAGTCAACCTCTGTACCTCTTTTTTGTTCCTTGGTGATTCCATTGACGCCAAGGCTTGTATTTTTTCAGGGTTAGCCTCTATCCCCCGATGAGTGATCATAAAGCCCAAGAACTTGCCCGAGGCCACGCCAAATGCACATTTTGCAGGGTTCAACTTCATTCCGTACTTTCGCAAGGTGTCGAAAACCTCTTCAAGATCTGAAATATGCTGGTCCACCTGTTTGCTCTTGACCACCATGTCATCAACGTACGCCTCAACATTCCTTCCAATCAAGTTAGCAAAGACTTTGTTGATGAGCCTTTGGTATGTTGCCTCTGTATTCTTCAAACCGAAAGGTATGACCTTATAACAGTATATGGCGGAATCGGCCATGAATGACGTCTTTTCTTGATCTTCCTCGGCCATGAGGATTTGATGATAACCAGAAAATGCATCCAAGAAGCTGTATAGCTTATGTCCAGACATGCTATCCACCAAGTTGTCAATCCGCGGTAGGGGATAACTATCCTTTGGACATGCTTTGTTAAGATCTGTGAAGTCAATGCCGACCCTCCACTTACCATTGGCCTTCTTCACTAAAACAACATTGGCAAGCCAATCGGGATATTGGACCTCCCGAATGAATTGAGCATCGACAAGTTTGTTAATTTCTTCGCGAATGACCTCCCGACGTTCTGGGGTAAACTGTCTTTTCCTCTGCTTTACTGGTCTAGCCCCTGGGCTAATGTTAAGCTTGTGGACTGTAATTTTAGGGTCTATCCCTGACATATCCTCAACCTTCCAGGCAAAAACGTCAATGTTGCGAAATAAGCAACCAACAAGTTCTGTCTTCAAGGTGACGTCAAGATCCTGACCAATCGTCACCTTCTTATCATGCTCGAGATCAATTTCCATCAATTCTTCGACAGGAGCAAGTCTGACTTGTTGCTCGACCTCGGGCTCAATCCTCGAGATTTGCATGACGTCGTTATTTATTTCTCGAACGCTGGCAACATAGCATTGTCTGGCAGCTGTCTGGTCTCCACGCACGACCCCAGCGCCATTACTTGTTGGAAACTTCATGGCTAGGTGGAAGGTAGACACAATGGCTTTGATCTTGTTTAGGAGTGGTCTTCCCAGAATGGCGTTATAGGCCATTGAGACACGTACCACTTGAAAAGACGTCATCTCCGTAACCTGTTTCTGGCCAGAACCCAAAGTTAGAGGAAGCTCAACGACACCCTCTGGAGTGATGACTCCTCCCCCAAATCCCTGGAGAGGAGTTTTAACCGCTTTGAGCTGCTGAGGTGAGATTCCCATTTTGGCAAAAGCTTCTTGTGAAAGTATATTGGCCATACTCCCGTTGTCAACTAAGATTTTCTTTACTTCAAAATTGGCCACAGTCGCTGAGATTACCAATGCGTCATCATGTGGTAGTGATATACCTTCTAAGTCCCCCGTCCCAAAAGTAATATCCTCCAGCTTTCCATGAGGCATCCCAGTGGCCAAGGCATATTGTCGGGTGTATTGTTTTCTTCCACTGTTGGAGTCTCCTCCCGAGGCAATACTCCCAATGATGATATTGATGGTTCCTGCAGTGGGTTGACCATCCCTTTTTGCCTCAGGGGCTTTTTCCCTACCACAATCGTTCCTCGGGCATTTGTCGTTACCGATGTAGGAACTCAGGAGTCCTCTTTTAATAAGGGCTTCAATCTCCCGTTGTAGGGCCTTACAGTTCTCCGTGGTATGCCCATGATCCCGATGGAACTCACAGTACTTGTTCATGTCCCTGGATTCGGGTGGTGACCTCATTCTGACTGGCCATTTGAGTTTCTTCATATCCTTGATCTCCATCAATATATTTATCTTTGACGTATTTAAACGCTTGAATGACGTCGGGGGAACCTCCTGTCTCTATTTTTTCCGATGTTGTTCTTTATAGGGGTTCGGGTCGTGCTGTCGTTTATGCTCGACCCTGTCACGGAGTGGTCCAACCTTTCTCGGGTTCAATGTTTCCTCCATATTTATGTACTTCTTGGCTCGGGTAAGAAGCTCGGTCACTGTCTTTGGCGGAGTTTTGGATAAAGACATCTTGAATTCCTCACACTTTATGGCATATGTGAGGGTCGAAACTGTTGCAGTTATATGTAGGTCGGGAATCTGAAGTCTTTCCTTGTTGAACCTGGTCATGAAGTCACATAGGGTCTCATTTTGCCCTTGTCTAAGTTGCATGAGGGAAGTCGCTGTCTTCCTAATGCATTTACTGCTTGCAAAGAAAGCAGAGAACTTGTCTGCCAAATCCGAGAATGAGGCGGTGGAGTTAGGCTCTAAGGTTGAGAACCAATCCCTAGCAGCATTCGTCAAAGTTTGCGGAAAGGCCTTGCACATCACTTGATCTGGTGTGACTTGTAGATTCATGACGTCCGTGTATACGTTAAGATGATTGATTGGATCGGTAGTCCTATCATATTCTTTGATCCTAGGATACTTAAATCTGTTTGGCAAGGGAAATGTCAATATCTCAGGAGTAAAGGGAGTGTTGGGACTGAATATTGCCGTCCCTTTGTTGCCCTGAAGTAGACCCGCCGTAATTCCTTCTTGAATAATCCTAGCGAGTTCCTCGGACTCCATGGTCATTGATCTCAAGGTCGAGGTCACATGTGGTATACCCGAGGCCCCTGCTCCGCCATTGTCAGGGACGTGTCTTTGAGCTCGAGCTCGAGTATCAGCCATAAAACCCCCATGGGGTGCTGGTGTGGGTGACGGATGCGAATTTCTTTGACTTAGCAGCTGAGTCAGTGTGGCGACCTGTTGTCTGAGTTCTTCAAAGGCTCCAGCAGTGACAACTGTAGGCTGGGGCTCTGGCACTTTTGATGATTCCTCTTAAGGAAAAAGGATATCCTCAGGAGGGGGTTGGTTTGGAGCGGATGAGCTTGCTGGTGGAAGACCTGAACGTGTGTTTACCATGGCATTTGGTAGAGTTTCCCACAGACGGTGCTAATGATGCTTCCAAAAATCATACATGTAGATTTCTCGAGCTTGATAATTGATGAGGAGCACGAACGTGATCTTTCGGTACCTGAAACAAAGGCAATGATGTGTGTTCTCGTCGCCCCTCCGATACTTAAGTCAGAAAGGGAATTATATGCGTGAGGCTATATGTTGGAGAATAATGAAAAACGTACCTGAATAATGGCCCAAGGTTTTGCTTTTATAGGGGTAGATAGTGTACTCCTAGTAGGATTGTGCTGGTTGGATTTTTTATCCAAGGGAATTTCTATTTATAAAGAGTGCTCTACTTGTAATGGAATTGTTTGACAAGTGGTATAAGGGTTGATACATAATCCTTGGGTGTTTAGGTTTGTTTGTTAGATACCTAGATCTTAGAAGGTATATTGGTGGTATATGTCTCGAGGACTATTCTCGAGGACTTGAAAGTATGTTAATATGTGCACGAGATGCCTCGAGGTCTTAGGGAGACCCCGAGGACAATAGCAGAAAGGTGAGCTGGAGCAAATATGGAATCCTCGGGATGTACTCCTCGAGGTATATCAATATGGGCATCGTCAACGATCAATAAACTCATAATAATGCTAGGACTTGTTGCAAGCAAATTAAGAGCATGTTTGTACGATTGTACCCCTTTAATTTCAAAAAGTATATTATGAAATAGTGACTGATGTTGAAATGTGTGGTTAAAAAAGAAGAATTTTTATTTATTTATGTGTAATATTATTTTAATAAAAAATATGTGGTTGAAAATATGTCTAACTTTTCTTTTTTTATGAAAATTTTCTTGAGGGGATAGTTTTTTTTTTTTCAAAACAAAGAAAATATTTTCTTTTTAAAGTGATATTTTCCATTCCATGCCGATCAAATACTCTAAATGAGAAGTAATTAAGGCCTCGTTTGTTTTTCGTTAATATAAGAATGAGAATGAAAAATATTGTCATTACGGACTTCGCACAAGTAATAGAAATTCAAATATATTAACTTAATATGATAGATAACGGTCATATTTTTCATTTTAATAGTCAAATACTGGAAACAAACATTGGCTAAGTGCTATTTGAGCTCCTCTGTGATTTAAATATATTTTTCTCTTTCATCTTTTATTTACACATTTTACAATATTATGTTATACATAAAACTAATTTATTTTTTTTAACCAATAATTCTTTAAAAAAATTATTATTTTCTAATGAAGCCTTCCGACGAGTGTCCATAACAAAGCAGTCTAGCCACGTGGACGGTCGGATTCAAAACAGCGGAATCTTCGAATCGAAGGAGCCGAAACAATTATTCTAACCACGATTAAACTTAACCATGGTTAACTGCCGCCCTTATATCATTCTGCAACTGAGTTCAAATCTTCTTTTAGATGTTTCTTTCTTTCCACCTATATACAGACAAAATGGGAGAAAAAAATTCAAAAGAAGCGCCGTCGTTTATGAACATGGGGATGCTACTCAGTTGACACGGAGTTCTCATTTTCTTGAGTCAAGCAAGCCCTTTCGTTTAACATTTTCAAGGGATTTTTGTTAGTTTCTTGCAAATTTATTATTTTTGAAGAGAAGAGAGGTGCTCAATTGACTTTCTTTGCTTGTGGACTCAAATTTCTTGCCTTTTTCGTATTCTTGTCACTAGAAGTTGCTATTTACTATTGAGTGAAGATATAGTTACGCTTGCACTTCTGCTGAGTTGAAATTGTAGAGTACTGAAATTATATTTTTTATACGATATCTGAAAAATTTCACCGTTTTCACTAGAAAGAAAGCTAGAGTTCTGAATAAGAAATCATGGTGGAAATTCAAAGTTCCTCGCCAAGCGGAGTGTCACCGGAATCTGCAGAAGCCACAGTTTCTACTTCTGAACATCAAATAGCAGCCGATGAACCAGTAACAACAGTGCCCATAAAGAAACAAAGGAATCTTCCTGGAATGCCTGGTAAAGTAAAGTTCTTAATTATGAAAGCTTTTTTTTTTTTTTTTTTTAACGAGTATGAAAAGGTTGAGGTACGGTGGAAGTTTATGTTGATTTCTCTTTGTGTTTTTCAGATCCAGATGCAGAAGTGATAGCTTTATCACCAAGAACTTTGTTGGCTACAAACAGATTTGTATGTGAGATCTGCAACAAAGGATTTCAAAGGGACCAGAATTTGCAACTTCACAGAAGAGGCCACAACTTGCCATGGAAACTCCGGCAAAGAACAAGCAAAGAAGTGAGAAAGCGTGTATATATATGTCCGGAACCCACCTGTGTTCACCATGACCACTCAAGAGCCCTAGGCGACCTCACCGGAATCAAGAAGCATTTCTGCCGGAAGCACGGCGAAAAGAATTATAAATGTGAACGCTGTACAAAAAAATACGCCGTTCAGTCGGATTGGAAAGCCCACATGAAAACCTGTGGGACCAAAGAGTACCGGTGTGATTGTGGCACATTATTTTCCAGGTAAATTTAGTTCAACATCGTATATAGCGCATTAATGAATGTTTGTTATTTATATTACTAATTTCTGTGTTTGAATTAATAGGAAGGATAGTTTTATTACGCATAGAGCGTTTTGCGATGCGTTGGCGCAGGAGAGTGCTCGTTCTCTACCGACGGTGATAACAATCTCGGAAGGAGATTTGAAGGTTGAGAATGTTCCGGCTGCGGCGGTCAAGCTGCTAGAACCTAGTCCTCCGCTGCCACCTCTTACACCGTCTACTGGTGTATTATCTCCAGTTCTGTCCATTCAAAGTCCAGGTGAAGTTCTGCAGCAAAACTTTCAAAAGTGGGTAAATTGTGTTTAATATCTCTGATTTGTCGACATTGTACATGCCGAAACGAGGATGTCGTGAAAAAGCTAAACTACTATTATGGGACTGTTTTGATTTGAAGGGTTGTTTAACGTTTGTTTAATCTTGGATTAAAGTTAAAGAACGTGGTGGTTCATGTGATACACATGTAAGGGTGTTTGACCTCATATTTATGAAAAAAATGCATTCTAGAATAGCAGATTAGAAATGTGTTGTTGAAAAATAAATAAATTTTTATTTTATTTTAAGTCCAGTATTATTTTAAAGAATAACATTTGGTTGAAAAGAAGAGAGAAAGAAATATATTTTGGGAGAATTTTGGGAAGAATGAGAATCAATCAAGCATTGTAGGGAGATAGAGAGAAGTGGAGTGGGGTGGAGTGGCGTGGCGTGGGATGTTGGAATGGATGCATTGGACTGCGTATTGTCAATATAGCTCAAAGATCGAAGAGAGATTTGAAGGAGATACATTGCGTGATCTGATGATTGAATCTGCTTTCACTCGAAAAGTCGCCTTTTAAAAGCTCATTTTCTTGATTTTGAGTTTTTATTTTTATTTTTATTTTTAATGTGTTCTTTTCTTGATACCAGCAGAATTGCCAGAAAATAAAACGATGCAACCCGGATCGGCAGCTTTATCTACATTGGTCACCAACACCAAAACAACCGCTGCTACCACTGCCGCATTTGGCAGCGGCGGCTCTGGCTCTCTTGGTAATGCCGCCACCACCAATGGATTATTTGCTGGAATATTAACTGGGTCAACCTCCAGTGAACTCTCTCAATCATCAATTCAACCAACACCGTACTCGGACCTGTTATGTGCTATGTCCGGATCAAAGCGTACCGGCAACCCCATCGATCCTATGTCACTCTCCCTTTCGCCGGCTTTATATCCCTCCAATGGTGCATCGGCTTTGTTCTCCTCGACATCACAGGATCACCAGAGGTATTATGCATCAAATTCACAGCCAGCATTATCGGCAACTGCATTGCTTCAGAAAGCTGCTCAGATAGGCGCTACATCATCGAAGTCCTCATTACTTGGATTGGCAATGTCATCTTCATATGATCTTCTAGATAATGCCTCGACCATGGCTTCTAGCACCACCGGCCGCCCAATGCTTTGGAACCATCAGGTGAAGCTCGAACACAATTTGTTGGCATCCGGGCTTGGTCTTGGGCTACCCTCAAGTAGTACTCCCGGATCAAATGACTTGATGTTGGGACAGTCGACACTCTTTGACAACAATCCGACTACTCTCGACTTCCTCGGTCTAGGAATGGGCGGTAGTGAAGTAGTCCCTAGTGGGTATTCAGCCTTCCTAACATCGATTGGAGGTGGACTCGATATGTCCACTTCTTCATTTGGTGGCGTGAACACGGCAAGAGAAACTTGGGACGATTCCTCGGATGGTAAGCCGTCTTTGCTACGATAAGAGTTCATTTTCTATTTTTTTCGTTTCTTGCAAGTGCTTCCATACATTAATTTTAGCTCAATTCAAGTTTTAGGTTTACTGCTAAGGGAACTTGAAAGAAGGAACCTGTGTATATTGTAGTAACGTGGTAGTTGTTTTTAAGATTAAGATATTTGTACAAACTTTGATCGACAAAAACTTCGACTCACTTTCACTGTCTCACATGCATGTGGTCCTCATGGATTAAATAATTTTGACATGTAGATCCCACCTTTTCATTGTGTGAGTATAAAGTAAAAGATTTTGTACAAAAGTGTTAGTACATGTTTTTGCTTTTTTGTTTTTTTTTTAAGCATATTCTCAATTGCATTATTTGTGTGAAGAAATCAGATTCGGGTTTTGTCGTAGAAGATTAGAGAGGCCGGTCCGGGTACATGTGGGCTCACTGGACAGTGACGGGGCTGATAAGCAGTCAAATCTGGGGCTAAGAATAGTGTTCATCCACGTAGGAACCAACCCCACCAATTTAATGCACCTTCTCGTGATAATCTTGCTATCCTCTTGTTTCTGGTCAACACTGTATGCGAAGACATTTTTATCCGGTTTGGGGCCATGCCCAGATTGGCTATGGGCTAATTTTTAGATTGGCCAAGTCAAAGAGACATTTTTTCACTTTAAGCAAAAAATTTTGCGTATCACCAAAATGACCTTTTATTGAGTAAAAGACAAAAATGTCCTTAAGTAGTTTATACAATTACAAAGATAGAATTTTATTTCGAAAGACAAAAATACCCTTAAGTAGTTTATACAATTACAAAGTTAGAATTTTGTTTCAAAAGATAAAAATACCCTTAAGTTACAAATTAATAAATCAAACACTTTTCATTTTATATTTAATTATTTATTTTAAACAATTACTCAAATTAAAAAAATTAATATTAAATTCATTTTCTTGTTTAAACATTTCATTAATTAATTATCTTAATCGATTATGTATATTATTTATTTAATATTTAATTTTTTTATTTAATTATTTATTTAATCACTTGCTTAAATAAAAAATTAATATTTAATTTGATTTCTCATTTAAATATTTTATTAATTTATTATCTTAATTGATTATGTATATTTAATAAATTATTTAATTATTTATTTTAAACATTTATTCAAATAAAAAATTAATATTTAATTTTGGTTTCTCTTTTAAATATTTCATTAATTAATTATCTTAATTGGCCCTTATTTAATTATTTATTTTAAACGCCCACTAAAATAAAAAAATTAATATTTAATTTGATTTCTCGTTTAAATATTTCTCTATTAATTATCTTAATTGATTATGTATATTATTTATTTAATATTTAATTACTTTATTCAAATGATGACATATTTAAATAAAAAAATAATATTTATTTTAATGTCTTATTTAAATATTTCTTTAATTAATTGTCTTAATTAGTTATGTATGTTATTTATTTATTGTTTAATTACTTTGTTTAATTATTTATGTAATCTCTTAATTAAATAAAAAATTAATATTTAATTTAATTTATTATTTAAATATTTCATTAATTAATTATCTTAATTGATTTTATGTATTTAAAATTTAATTACTTTATTTAATTATTTATTTAACCACTTACTTAAATAAAAGAATTAGTATTTATTTTAATTTCTTATTTAAATATTTCATTAATTAATTATCTTAGTTAATTATGTATATTCTTTATTTAATATTTAGTTACTTTGTTTATTTATTTATTTATTTATTTAATCACTCAATTTAATAAAAAAATTATATTTAATCTAATTTCTTATTTAGATATTTCATTTATAAATTATCTTAATTAATTGTGTATATTATGTATTTAATATTCCATTACCTTATTTAATTATTATTTTAATCACTTATTTGAATAAAAAATTAATTTTTAAATATTAATTAATTATTTAAATATTTCAGTAATTAATTATCTTAATTGGTTATATATATTATTAGTCATTAATATTTAATTACTTTATTTTAATTGCTTGTTTAAATAAAAACATTATACCATAATATACAAGTGTCATAATATTATTGAAGAGTTGAAAAACAGTTTTTTCGATCCTTTACTCATAAAATTTCACATATACACTATGGATATTCTTATAAATTAGTATATGTAGAATTATCAAATATTGAATTTGATTTCTCGTTTAAATATTTCTTTATTAATTATCTTAATTGGTTATGTATATTTAATTACTTTATTCAATTATTTATTTTAAAACCTATTCAAATAAAAATTAATATTTAATTTAACTTCTTCTTTAAATATTTCATTAATTAATTATCTTATTTGGTAATGTACATTGTTTATTTAATATTTCTTTACTTTAATTAATTATTTATTTAATCACTTATTCGAATACAAAATTAATACTAAATTTAATTTATTCTTTAAATATCTCATTAATTAATTATCTTAATTGGTCACATATATTATTTATTTAATATTTAACTAGAATATAAATCACATGATGCAAGAGAATATTTAACAGAGATGGAAGTCGAATATTAGGCACGATCACATTTTCAAGACATCGAACATTATTCAAGAATGCCGAAAATATATTTTTTCTACTAAATGAAGTCAAGTGGGAAGTTCTCGATTATGGTATGTTACTCTCTACCCAACGGATGTGTAATATCTATTTAAATCGTATGTACTCTCTATTTATAGTATATTATTGGTTTTCTCAAATTTCTCTATGTATAGTATGTTATTGATTACGTGAAAATTGATCCGACGAATATGTAATATCTACTTAAATTGTATGTACTCTATATTTATAATATGTCATTGATTTTCTCAATTTTCTTTATTTATAGTGTGTTATATATGTAATTAAGAGTAATTGGTTATTTATTATACAATTACATAAAAACTAAAGTATTATAAACGTTTTAAAAAAAATGCTTACGTTTTAAATTATTACAACTATGGATCACAATGTAAATTAAAAAAAAAAGCTTACATTTTAATGTGTGTTTTGTATATTAGCTCTACGTCACGTTTGATGCTAAAAATTCAATATACTTCAATTTGATCCGAATCCGACGAAATTAATGGGAGATGGATTTAGGGTTTTAATCCGATAACCCAATCGAGATTCAAATTCGATAATCCGTTAACTAAATAAATCAAATATGGATATAGATCGATCCGATCAGATCCGATATCACTAAAATAAATAATTAATATATATATATATGTGTGTGTGTGTGTGTGTGTGTGTGTGTGTGTGTGTGTGTGTGTTTTAGGCCTTCTATTATAATAAGTGAGCCCATCAAGATAGTTCAAATATTTTTTAAAATAAATAATTAAT